CCTGCTGAGATGTATTCCAGCACTTCATGTCTTCGCACCACGACGGCTGAGATCAGGATACTGATGGCTTGCTCTTGCTTTCTTTTCCAACTTGGTATTAATTCCTTAGCAGGTGATACCACCGCTTGAAGCAGTAATTGTAAGAAATCATAAGAACAAACCTAATTCACACAACATTAGTGGGAATTCTTGGCCCCCTTCTTTTCTAGAAAAACGGGATGTGATCAGAACTGCATTATGACCATTGTCCATTCAGTGGGACAGAAATGGCATCCTCCCTCCCTGGTTGTTGAGCTGTTCAACTAGTGTCTATACTATATGTTAAATCATTAAAAAATTATCTGTGTTCCAAAATACTGCCTGTTGTCATGTCTTTCCTTGAACTACAAGGCAACTGTACCAAAATGTAAGTTGGAAGAATGCAGCGGAGCAGAGAGGGACGCTAACTTCGATATGCGTAATAAGGACAAGCAAGTAGAGGCAAACAGGAAATCTATTTCATTTAAGAGTGTGCTTCTCTGTGGTGCACAGAAAGATCTGGCCCTTTGCAAAAGTGGATTGAGCAGGGAAAGGAATGCAACTGATTGATTGCTTCATGTTGTGAAGATATGGTGAGACATATCAAATCTGTGCTTCCTGGTAATACTTCTGTGTGGTTTAAGTGATGTCCATCCCTCTTGTAAAAAAGCCTGGTGACTGCGGTTGTCAGTGGCTGTCGGACGTCTCCTTTCTGTTTGTCAGCTAAGAGACTCAGGTTGTTGACTTGTGTTTGGCAGCAGATTTAATGAGAGCCTTTGATGGAGCGACCAGCTCTGCTTATCTGCACTGAGGTCACTGCTGGGGATAACTGAATGGGTTGTCTACTCCTCGATTTCTGTACTTTACAAGAATATTAATGCTAGTGAAAAACGGTACCAGCTGACATCTAATGAGGAACAGGTATATTATTTGGCTGTACCAATTTGGAAAGAGTAATCTATGGCAGAAGGGCAAAGCAGTAATTGCCATCTTGGCTGAATTTAAACTTGAGCCATTGGCCTTGAAAGAACCTGCTGTACTGTGTCATTGGGATAGTATATCAGATAAAAATTCTTATTGTGATAGGATGGAGTTCTGAAAAGGCAAAAGCAAACGTCTAGCTTGAGGCCAACACTAAACAGCTGATGAGTTTTGATCATGGTTTCTGCATTCTCAGAAACTCACTCAATGTAATTGCAATTCTTCACTCTATCTCCCGTAAGCGTCCAGGCTCTAACCATTTGGAGAACTTTCTACCAAACTACGTTAGTAGTCAATTTTGGAATATAAAGCACTAAGCACAGCAAATCCTAAACATGAGTCTTTGTTCTGATATGCTTTTAAAAAGCAAACACTTCTTTGACTTCCCTTGTCATTTAGCTGCACAGGCTTGAGCTTTAGGATTTGTTCTGTCTTGTGCTAGTCACTTAAACTGCAAACACACTAGTTCCTTTAACCTAGCACCACAGTGTGATATTTGTTCTTCAGTTATTCTAATTAAGTAGAGGTGGGGGAGGAGGTGAAAAGGAATTCTCTAACTCAGCAAGTTTCACAGACTATGGAGTTCAGCAAATTATTGGTGCTCTATTAAAAATCCTCTGCATTTCTTTACAACCTGAGGCAAACAGCTAACTATATGCAAAGGGGGGAAAAATGCCGACATCAAAACCTGCAGGGAATGATGGGAAAGTACTGAGTTCTTCATTTTTTGATCCGTGTCTAATTAAACAGGCAGTTCTATCTAATATCTTTGGTCAAATAAGGTCTGACTTGTAGCAACATGCATATTGTCTACATGATGTTTTCCATTTTTGAGGCAGTCATAGGGCCACAGATTTTTGTTAGAAATCATGGTTCTTAGTAGATTAGACGTATAGGTCTTAAGCAAGAATTCTCAAGATGCTTTCGGATTGAAGCACGTTTGTTGTGGTGGTCTGCTGTTTCGCTTATGGTGAAATAACGCAAAGTTGCAGAGTAGAGAAAAGTAAGAAATTAATTCTGGCTGAAAAGCTTGCCTTGTAGAAGCTTTTCTAGTATGTATTTCAATTAAGGGGATGGAAGACCACAAGCTATAGTTGCAAATGGAATGGGAGGTAGGTGTTAGTTCACCTGTGAGATTACAATTAATTTGTTTCTACTATTAATGGTTGAAATGAGGATTAGCACCTGATTTCTTGCCATTTTAATGGAAGCTTCCAATAAAATCCAGCTCTCACTTATGCAGTATGTTTTCTGTCTCTCTGCATGCACCTACAGAGTAAGGCACTCCCATAGGAATCGTGTCAATTGTCTGCATTCTGTTCCTGTCCTGCACAAAATTTTTTTAGATTTTAAACTCCTCAGAGCAAGGAGACAACTCTACATTTGTAGTTCCTACTACTTCTGACCATGGCCTCACCTGGAGCCTTTAATGTACCTATTCATATGAATAATACCTGTCTTACACACATGCACACACAAATATAAATCACTATTTGAAGAAGTTGGTTATGTATAACTCATAGGTGCCCAATCACTCCAGCATCCTAAGCTATTGACATTGTCATATGCATAAAAAGGCATCTGTCAGCTGTGTAAGATGACACTGGCTATGCTGTGTCCACATCTTCAAACTGAAAAATGTAGATTATTTGCAAACTACAGTTTTAGTAATAAAAGTTGTGCTATCTAAGCAAAAAAACATGTTCATACATGGATGAACAGGGTCCTAATTTATCTAAATTGCTGATGCCTTAAAAATACACATTAAACTAAAAAATCCCAATCGTCTGTAGAACCAAATACTTGTACAAAAGTATGAGTAAGCAAATGTTATATACCTCTTCTGACGTCTTTTTAGCTGCTTAATTTGTGTCAGCCTACAAGCTTACCTCTAGGAGCGTATCTCAACCGATGTAACAATGAGGATCAGCCAGCAGAGGTTACCACAGCATTGGGATAAAAGCTGGTCTCCTCCCCGTGGAGCCAGGCTGGCAGATGGCCCTTAGAGCTGAATTTCACTGGGCAAAAGGCAGGCAAACCTACAAGTACAGAACACAAGTCATTACATCGCTCCAGGAAAATGTGTGGAGGGTCTCTCTGGAATTACTGCTGCACCTTCGGCCTGCCCACCGAACCCACAAAATAAACTCACCTGTGAGGGCTGCCTGGGTTTTCAACCTGTTGGGCAGGCATGGGTGCTAAT